TGTTGAGAAATATGACCCTCATACAGGACACTGGACTAATGTGACACCAATGGCCACCAAGCGCTCTGGTAAGAACTGGTGAGATCTGAGGGGAGGGACAGTAGACATCTCCGTCAGATCATACACGTGCAGGGACGTGCTGTCACAGGACAGGGTATCAAATCGGAGTTGTATTTCCTCCTTTACTATAGATTCAAAGTGAAACATGAGTCAGATTCCATTTCTCTCTTTGCCTGTGTTTTCTCTAAACATAGAATAAAGACAGCTTAAACTTTCAACCAGATTATAAATTTGAGGGCAAAAGCCTGCCTTTTTATTCTTTTTTGTATGTTTTTGTTCCCTCCCTGCATTCTCTGATACCTCGTGTGGGTTCGTGTATGTCCCGCACGTTAAGTGGCGAAGGCCGATGCAGAAGAAGGGCAGCTGTCTGCCTCTCTGAGAGCTTCTCCGAGTAGAGTAGGCTGGGGTGTGAGAGAAGAGAAAATACTGATGCTGTGCTGTTCTGATGTGCTTCTTCTGGGTAAAAATTGCTCTAGAACCATAGTCACAGTTCCTTCTTTGCACCTTTACTGCCTGACTTTTTCCACTTCCTGCTTTTCTGCTAGTAAAGAGGGTTGGGCTCTGAATTGATGAAAGTTGAGTTCATTAAAAAATGAAGATGAGAACCATATCAGTTTTCAAGTCCCAGCAAGGGTTTTCCAGATCGCTCACCTGCGCTGGACTAGATCATCTAGGCCTGTCCGGCCCCAGCCCACATCCCTCAGCTACCCTGGAATTCATCTAGTTATCAGTGACCATGTTCTGTTTCTATAAATCAGATCCTAAACTTAGTAGTATTCATTTGGTATGCCTTTTTTCTCCCCAGGTGCAGGAGTAGCCCTTCTGAATGACCATATTTATGTGGTGGGGGGATTTGATGGTACAGCCCACCTTTCCTCCGTTGAAGCATACAACATTCGCACCGATTCCTGGACAACTGTCACCAGTATGACCACCCCACGATGCTATGTAGGGGCCACAGTGCTTCGGGGGAGACTTTATGCAATTGCAGGGTGAGGATTTAGAAACCACGCCTGCGTCATTGTGCGTCCGGGGCAATGCGATCTGATCTTCATTTTCGGATGGAGACAGGGTTTGGGTCAGGGAGACAGCTCCAGGGGCAGCTGTGGGGTAGGCCTTGTACGAGGAGGAATAGAAGTCTTCTTTCTTCCTTTTGCTTCTCCCCGACTCAGATACGACGGGAATTCCCTGCTGAGCAGCATCGAGTGCTATGACCCTATCATCGACAGCTGGGAAGTAGTGACATCCATGGGAACCCAGCGCTGCGATGCTGGCGTGTGTGTTCTCCGGGAGAAGTGACCACAACTGGAGCGTCATGCCAAGCCAGTAACCGGGCCACGGGTAGTTTGCTGAAGAGGCAAGGATCCTTTGCAGAATGTCTGTTCCTCACTCCGTGCACAGGGTGATCACAAGCACCAGGGCGGTGGTGGTTGTGCTGACTTGCCAGGCACTCCCCTGTGCGCTGGCAGTTGTCCCTGAGGACGGTGGGTAACAGACACTCCAGGGAAGAGAAAGAATGCACACTGACGGGGTGTGAGAGGCCAGGTCACCTCTCCTTGTGGTCTAGTGAGCACTTTCTTGTCATCTCTCACTTCCTGTGTGCTTGGAAGAATATATAAACAGATATATATGTTGTGCCTCATGTATTGCAGAGAATTAAGGTGAGTATGGCCTGTGAGGTGTGGGCAGTATCCAGCCTAGCAGATTGGGAGGATACCAGTTTGAGTAAGCTTGATAAAAATCCAAGTCTTTTGTTTTCCAGGAACGAATATCTTTCCTAGTCTACAGGTAGCAAAGGGCAACACAGTTCCATTCCAGAAGACAACAAAGGGAAGGGTCCTGTCAAAACTCGGGGGGCCTGGGGACAGACCTCCCTTAGGGGACAAGGTTGGTATATCAGGACTAGGTTTACAGTAGTGAAGTAAACTAAATTCGATGGGAAATGAGTGATCCTAGAACACCACTAAGTATGACCTGCAAGACAGACAGTGTATTATTTGAAGGGTCTTGTATTTCCCCTTGCGCTCTCCAGAACTGCTGTGTTGTGCATCTTAGTGCTGGAGACCGGAAGAATAACAGAGTGAATAAACGTTGGGCTGGAGCAGAGGTGGAATAAATGTGGGAGTTCGATATGCCTGGGAACAGATTACCTGTGATTTTACAGTTGTCTTACTCCCTGCCAGGGCTCATCTGCCCATGGCAAGGTTCGCTTTAAATGAATAAGGGACTATCTCTCTTTGTTGAATCAAATACTACTACACTTCCATACTATTTATTTGAGGGTGGGCTGGGGGTGGCCGAAGCCTAGAAGTTCAGCTACCTGATTATTGCCCCGTTCTTGTGAGGGCACACTTCTGTGAAGGAGTCGTTTTTACTGCTGAGTTTGGTACATTTAGTCCTTGCCCTACTATGAAGTTCCCTTACCTGTCCTTAGATTGGATTTTATTCATCCAAGGAGAATAATCAAGGACAGCCAAAATTCTTTTGTCAGTTCCCATACCACCTGTCACCATTTCTGAGCTCCTAGTCAAGGCTCCTCTGTGTTAATGGAGTGAAATCCTTGCTTTACCGTATTGGGAGGGTGGGAACATGATAACCTTAACAAGGACGCACTTTCTCTTTGGTCTGAAATCCCATTTTTTCCTCTTCCCTGAGTTGTATTAAAGAGTTCATTTCCTTTGTATTTTTTTAAGAAAAAATAAAAATTCAGCTGTCTTAAATGCCTGTAAGAGTTTGTGGCTATCCAGTGCTTTCTTCCCAGCATTGTGGGGAGCAGGCATAGAGCTTCACTGTAGGTCCCACCTCTCTAACTTGTTCCACCTGTATGTTTGCCACCTAGCTGTGCAACGGTCTGTGTTAGCCACAGGTAAGAGGTAACCATTTTACCACTGTGGAGAGTCTCATCAGCAAAATGTGTATCTGAATTTGCTGTATTCATTGACTCCTCTAACACATGGAGTTTACTTGAAAACCAGAGAGAATAAGAGGCGGTCTTGAGCTCATTTAGTACCCACCTGAATTTCAGGGTTTTAGTCACCCAGTACTTTTTCTGTTTGCTTTGACTTACGTGTTTCTGTCTTATGTGACAGAAACAGCTATGCAAAAGGGCTGGTACTGTCAGAGCAAAGGGAGCCAAAGGAGAAGTTAGTTATTTTCACTAAAGGCTGCCAGCCTTTCTTTAGCAGATGGCTTGATTGTGCCTGCTGACTTCATAAACCACGGCCATGAAACGTGATTCATCCTATCTCAGGAAGAGATCCAGAGGAGGTTGAGGGGAGGCAGAGATGTGGGGGTAAAGAATTGATGGCTCCTAGGCTGTCTTCATTGCCAGCTTTTCTTGAGCTTCAGGCCAAATTGCCAAATAAGTTCTTACATGACAGCCACAACTGACTTTTCTGCAGAAAGCATGTAAAACTCATTGCTCCCTTTCCACTTTTTCCCCATTTACATATCTTCGCATGCTCATGCACGTACCCAGAAATGCCTCTTATCTGATGGTTCCTTCTGTTTTTCTAGCTCCCTTAATCAGCAGCCAGCTGCTTAGCCAACCTTGGAAAGCTATTGTCACCTCCATCACAATACAAACACCCAAATGTTTTTAAGGCTCTTCACTATTTTATCTTTAAATGTCATAAATACTTTATTTTGATTCCCTCTGTTACCTCATAGTTAAGGACTATCTTGCCCAAACTCGTGGAGTAATAGCCTCCTGCTATCCTTATCTCTACTCATGTCTTCAAATCTGGCCCCTCCATTTTGCGGTCGGTTATTTTTCTAAAGGTACAAGTAATGTCAGTCCCTAACATACAGCATATTTTCACTAAATATATTATTTCTGGCCTAGAATTCCATAGATTCCCATTGCCCATATTACAAAATTCAAATTCCCTAGTATAACATTAAATCTGGTGATCTGGGCCCACTCTACCTTTCTGATGTTACCTCCCCCTATTACCCTCTCTTTCCCCCAAGTATAATGTGCTTAAGCCACAATAGTTTATTAACTGTTCCTGAACGTGTTCTCACCCTTGTTCATGTATTACAGGGCTCCTTCTATCTGAAATAATCTTGCTCTCCTGACAAAATCCTAGTCACCTTTTAATACCTAGTTCAGGTGTCATCTAGGTAAAGATTTTTCTAACTCCCCAGACAGAGCGGCTGCCTAATCTGGGCTTCCATTTAATTGTCTAAAATGTCATGGGCTTTGCATTTGTCTTCCTGTTTAGACCTGTTCTCAGATATAAAGTGTGTATCATTATTTTATCAAGGTTGAGCATATAATTACTAAATGTTGCAGTAATGAAGGCCAAAGAGGAAGAAGAAAATGCAGTTGGAGGTGGTGGGTAGATGAGACATTATCCAATCAAGCGGTTTAATTCCCTTTCATATTCTGCTTTCCCTGCCATTTCAGGAAACCCATGGCCTTTTGCACTAGAACTAATACTAGAGATCTAAAGACTCATGGGAGGAGAAAATATAGTATAATGATCAAGAGCAATATCTCCAGAGCCATGCCTGGATCTGTGGACCCTGGATAGTAACCTTTCTGATCACCACCTTCCTCGTTGTACACTAGGGATAATGAGTGACAACTTTATAAGGATATTATGTGATTCAATAGGTTAGTTTCTAGGGTGTTTCAACACACTGTTTTGCCACCTAGTAGTCACTATTAGAAGAAAGCAGCAATTAAAGCTTACAGGCATCTTTTTCCAACACCTAAAAGGTACATGTCCCTCTAAGTCTCTTACAGAGAAACTGATGTGGCTAAGACTTGCCTATGGGAAGTCTGACCTAGATTCACGTAGCCTGCAGAAACGTACCCGTTCATCCATGAGACTAAATTCAAATCTCGCGAAAATAAAAGGTTATGGTCAACTCTAATGACTTATTTATCCAGGTTTACTCAGCAGTAAGGGAAGTCCAAAACCAGGTGACTATGGAGAGAGATGACGTCACGTCCCAGGAGGTGATCCTGTCACAAGGCCACGCCTACAGCTGGCCGCCCGGCCAGTGAACGAGGGCGCTGGCGCAGTAAATCCAGAACCGGGAAGCAGACGCCTGCGCAGACCGTCCGCTCCCCGCCGGGTCTCTGAAGGCTGCGCCAGCGCAGTTCGGAAAGACCGAGCAGAAAGTGCGCCTGCGCAGTCGTGGCCGAGGGGCCTGCGGCGGTAGCGGCGATGGAAGCCGCTGAGCTCTTGGACGAGTTAGTGTCCGCCGAGGGCCGAAACCGGAAGGCGGTGCTGTGCCGACGTTGTGGCTCCCGCGTGCTGCAGCCAGGGACCGCTCTCTTCTCCCGCCGACAGGTAGGGGGGCGCGGCGGAGGCGGTTTACGCCCCGCACGCTTTCCCGGGGGCCGCGGGGGCCGGAGTCCGAGTCGCCGCGCCTCGGTTTCCCGGGCGGGACCGCGCCCCTCGCGCGGCCCTGGAGCCCCGGAGCCCTGGAGCCCTGGCCGCCGGGAACCCAGCGCCGGCGCTTCCGCCCCGCCTCGCCCAGCCGTGCGTCGGGGCCCGGCGTGCGCCGCGGGACGCTCCCCTCCGCGCGCGAGCCGAGGGCCGCCCCGGGCCGAGTGGTCCCGTCTCTGCCGGGCGCCTGCCCGCCGCGGAAGGGGCTCCAGAGGCCGCGCTGCTGTGGGGGCCGCGGCCGAGTAACTCCCGGAGCCCGGGCGCCTTACCCTGGGACTGGAAGCCGCCGCTCCCCGGACGAATCATTTCAGGCGGGTAGATACCTGTCTGAGGTCCTGACCATCAGGGAAGGCTTCATCTTTATTTTCTTCAAGTTAGGAATTTTAATACTCTTCATACCGCCGTCACTCCCCAAGTGAGGAAGCTGGGGGGGGAAATTCACATTGGTAAACTTTTAATTGAGATGTAACGGGCCCACAGGAAAGTGCAATCTCATTCCAATCGTGTGTGTACCCTATCACTCAAAATTATTTCTCGAAATATGTTCTGTCCCCAGGACCTTCACCTTGGGAATTACGCTGCAACATCAGAATTCTGGGGGGACACAGACATTCCGTCTGTAGCATGATGCTAATTTCATCTAGGGCGGAAGCCAGGGATGGATGTTAAGCGTGCTGCAGTGCATAGGACAGCCCCCCACAACAGAGTGTCCCGTCCAAAATGTCAGTAATACCAAAATTGAGAAATCATGGCCTTAAGCCCGCGAAGCACTCATATTTATAATCCCAGTTGATCATATGAAATTACTAGTATTTGTTGTTTATGCCACTGGACTATGTGATCCTATGTCCGATCCACTTCTGTTTCTCCAACACCTAGACTGTGCATATAAGTAAGACCCTAATAAATATTTGGATTTAAATAAATTAATGAATAAAGGCATTAAATCCAGTGTAAATAATGGGTTAACGTGAAGGGAATGAATTAGTATTTTCATTGTTACCTTCTTCCACTATTTGGGCAGCATGTGTTTATGTTCTTTTTAGGTCATACAAATAGTCTTGCATATAAAATGTTCATACCCCTGACTTCTACTTCTTGAAATCTTACCTTAAGTATGTGGCAGAGGAGATTATCATTAAGCTGATGTTTCATAGCTGTGAGAGAAAGTATGGTACCCCTGAAGAACCGAAAAGTTCAACTTGGCCAGACACAGAATGTAGTGAAAGTGGCAAGAAATGAGGCCAGGTGGAGTGAACAGTGATTGGAATAGAGGAGGTGAGGGAGCTCTGGGGATGACTCCTCCCCACAGGGGGTAGAAGCCCATGAATGGCAGTAGGATGAGGAGTCAAAGGGAGACAGAGCCAGGTGCCAGTCAGCTGTGGGAAGGGCATAGTGACCAGGCCACCTCAGGTGACCGCGGGTCGGGGGGTCGCCAGAAGGCAAAGGAGCAAAATGGTGTAGGAGTAATAATCTGGGAGCAAGTACACTGCTTCCATCTCCAGATCCTGATGCACGTGCAGTGTCAGATGGGCAGACCTGGGAGCTGCTGGTGGTGTCCTCAGCAAGAGCCTTACTTCCATGAAGACACAGAGGAAGGAGGCACTCCCCAGGGAGTTTGAGAATGTAGGAAAAGGGAGATGACATTATAGAAGAGCATTGTTTTGATATCAAAATTTAAAAAAAGAACATTGCTTACATTTTTTGGAGGAGGCAGTGCTGACAGGAGAGGGCAGTGGAAGATGGGCTCATGAGAAAGGCCACCTTTAGCAGTGTTTGCATAGGAACGTGAGAGCAGAGGACCTGAGGGCAGTAAACAAAAGAGTTCCTTCTAAACCTAGACATGCACTTAACATACAACCCAGCAGGTGCATTCAGGGCCTTTTTTCTCCGGAGAAGTAAAAACGTAGGTTCACACAAAAACCTGTGCATGAGTGTTCATTGCACCTTTTTTGTAATAGCCAAAAACTGGGAGCAGCCCAGGCGTCCTGAGTAAATTATACCATGGAATGAACAAAGTAGAATAAACTGTTGACACACAGAGCTTGGCTCAATCCTCAGGGAATTATGCTGAGGGGGAAAAAGCCAGTCCCACAAGATAGCAGACCATATGATTACATTTATTTGACATTTTTTAAATTTAGGCAAAGGAGAACAGATTAGTGATTGCCAAGGGTCAGGAAATAGGGGCTAGGGGGCTGCTGGTGAGTGTGGTTGTAAAAGGGTAGCATGAGGGATCCTTGTGGTGATGGAGCCATTCAGCCCATGACTGGTGATGGCCGCATGAACTTACACAGGTTGAAATTAATAAAATGATATAGAACTACATACACAGAAATGAGTACAAGTAAACTGGAAAAAAACGAATAAAAATCAGTGGATTTTATCAAGGTCGGTCTCTTGGTTGTTATAGTGTACTACAGTTTTGCAAAATGTTTCCATTGGGGCAAACTGGGTAAAGATACATGGAATTTCTGTATTATTTCTTCATATAGAAAAAGCAAATTTCGTATCTGTATATATCTGTATCTTCACTACATGTGAACCTACAATTACCTCAAAAAAACTTTAAAACTGATTTTAAAATCAGGACATGATGCTAAGTGAAATAAGCCAGTCACAAAAGACAAATACTGTAGAATTCTACTCTTGCAGTACAGAGAATCGTTAGATTCATAGAGGCAGAAAGTAGATGATAGTTGCCAGGAACTGGAGAGTCGTCTAACGGGTGCAGTTTTAGTTTGGGAAGATGAAAAAGTTCTGGACATGGATGGTGGTGGTGGTTGTACAACACATGAATGAACTTAATGCCACTCAACAGTACACTTAAAAGTAATTTAAGTGGTAAATTTTATGTTATGTGTACTTTAGCACAACAAAAATTCAGGAATCAAAATGGCACATGCATCTCAACTGTCTTACACAGTGTTCTTCTAGTAACTTATGGCTACCTAACAAGTCACCCCCAAAACAATGACTTAAAACAATGATGTATTTTGCTCACAGATACGGGGGTTGACTGGGCCTGGCTGGGCAGTTCTCATTTGGGGTCTCTCATGTGACAGCAGGCAGAGGCCTGTGGGCTAGGAAGGTTCAAGCATTGAGCATGGAACAGGCTTTGGGGGCATCTCCGTCTTCATTGGCTCTCCCCACATGGTCTCTGCGTCGTGGCCTCAGGGTAGCCAGAGTTGTTAATAGTAGCTGAAGTCTCGGCAGAGCAAGTGTGCCAAGAGGAACCAGCATGGCCTTTCTAACCCGGCCTGTCACTCCTGCTGCATTGTGTCCATCCAGGCCCTCACGGTGACCTGCCCAGGCTTGAGGGGAGAGGCATGGATGCCATATCTTGGTGGAAGGATGGCCAGAGAATCTGTGGACATGTTTTAGAACTGCCACAAGTCCTCACAGAAGGGGGGAAATTACAAAAAAGTTACCAGAAGTTTACTCTGTATTCAGTTTTTATTCTCATCATACTCTAGCATGCTTGCCAAGTTTTCTCTGTTGAGAATGTATTTATACAGAGAGAAAATAATTTTTAAAAGGGTACTGTTCACAGTTCTTGGGAAAGCAAAAGGAATTCGGCTAAGACATTAGCAGGTGCTCAGTGGGTTGTCGTGTCTGCATGTCTCTGAGGAGCCTGTGCAGGGTTAGGGGTACTGTCTGGGGTCCCGACAGCAAAGCTGGTCTACTGGTCAGGCATCTAAAACTTGAGTCTCCAGCCAAGTTAGCTGCCTCAGATTGGATAGTAATATCTTGATGTCCACCCCAGCAGTCTCTCCAGAAAGCCTCATTGTATTCCAAAAGCTACATCCCATCACCAGACCCTAGCAGCTGTCTTTGGCATTGTGGTGAATAGGTTGAGATCCATGCATAGGTACACATATGCTATGTGTAGGCATAGTCTCGTGGGTCGATTTACAGAGTTTAAATAAAAACAAAATGTGGTGGAATAGAGGGAACAGAACCCAGTATGACCCTTGAACTAATGATTAATAATAGTATTTCCCTTAGATCATTATTCAGATGAGATGCAGAGGCTGCGTTCTGCACTGTCAATGGGAACAGGGCCAGGGAAGCGGGCCAGTATTGTTGACTCCTGAGGGCTGACGCTTAAGTAGTCTTTCATTTCCTCCCCCTGCGTTTCACTCCCCTACATTTGGTTCAGATAGGACTTCAAACCTACAATATAGGCGATAGGTAAGAAATATTTTGGGGGACGTGTAATTTTGTTACACTTAGGACTAGAATCCAGGTTCCCTGGTTCCTGAATTTTTATTCCTAACTCTTTCTGTACCTCTGCCTCTTCCCATTTTCATTAGAGTTAAACAAAGCATTAAGGACCAGCACAGTGAGGCCATCCTATTGTAGTAGAGTCTGGGGAGGCACTGAAAGTGCATCATGGGATGGAAAATAAGTATATTGGGAGCAGCCGCAATGATGAGGAGCAGAAGGGTCACAAGGTTTGCTGGTATTTCTCAGCAGTCGGGGACAGCTAAGGCTGTGTAGACTAACTGTATGGAAGAAATGGACTCTGTGTGTGGGTTCCAAAGGCTTCCTCCGAATGACTGGGAAGGCATGTTGATGAACAGGTACAAGGATCCAGGGATAATATTCTAAATTCTAGAACTAGATTTTCCTTTTTAATGTTCCTTTTGTAGGATAAATCCAGCACATTCATTACAGTGGAACAGAGCAAAGCCAGATATCCTGTGTTTATTCTTTTAACAACTATTTGTCTTCCTGATCTATATCAGTTGCTGCTCTCGGCACTGGGGGTGTAGCAATGAGCAAGGAGGGTGAGTGCCCTGCCTGCCCTGGGCTTACATTCTGGCGGAGGAAGACCCGTGGTGAACAACTAAACCCGTAAATGAATAAGATGATTTCGGAGAATAAGAAGTAGAAAATAAAGAGGGGGGTGGTGACACAAGGAAACTTCTTGGGGTAATGAATATGTGCATTACCTTGATTATAGTAATGTTTCATTGCTGTACGTGTGCCAAAATGAATCAAATTGTACGCTTTAAGTACTGCTGCATATGTGCCAGTTACCTCAGTAAAGCCATTTAAAAAAATAAAAATACAGTGGGCAGTATGGGGAGCGAATTCAGATTGTGTGGTTAGGGAGCACCTCCTGGGAGGTTACGTGTGGGCTGAATATCAAGGAGCTGGCCTTGCCGAGATCTGAGGGCAGAGCGCATTTACCCTGTTGGAGGAAGGAAGAAGGGAATGTGGCTGGAGCATAATGAGCTAAAGCGGTAAAGCCCTGTTACCACGGCGACCAAAGTTCCTTCTTCACGTCTCTCAAGAACCAGGGCACGGACCAGAGGCAGCAGAGCAGCCACCAGCATCCTGCTGTGTTCCCCACTGACAGGGCACCCACCTCATCCCGTTCTGACTCCCAGAAGCTGCTAGGGAGCAGTGTGAAGTGTGAGCGGAACGGAGGCGCTGATGTGACGGGGCCAGTTCAGCTTTTGTCTTCTTTATGTTCTCTTCCGCTGCAGCTTTTCCTTCCCTCCATGAGAAAGAAGCCAGCTCTGGCCGATGGCAGCAGTCCTGACGGCGATCTCCTCCAGGAGCACTGGCTGGTTGATAACATGTTCATCTTTGAGAACGTGGGCTTCACCAAGGACGTGGGCAACATCAAGTTTCTGGTCTGCGCAGACTGTGAAACCGGACCAATTGGGTGGCATTGCCTAGATGACAAGAACAGTTTCTATGTGGCCCTGGAACGGGTTTCCCATGAGTAACTGAGGGGAGGGGGCCTCAGCTCCATCCCGACTATAAAAGCTACTTCCCTCAAGAACTGGCATTTAACCTGGTATAACTGGTCTGCTGCGCCTCCTCTGTGCAGATAGAAATCATGAGTATGGGCTCGTCCAGGTGAACCTGAAGAGGGCTAATCCTGTTTCCCCAGAGCCTCAGGTGCAGGCCTCTCACGTGGTGTGCTGTGCCACATTACCCAGTCTGCGCTTTCCCCCAGGTTTAAGGCACTGGGGCACTCGCACAGATCTGTTCTCATCGCAGCATTCTGCCTGGGCTCTCTTTTACCCGGGGGCTCTCTTGTTTCTTGCTCTGGAAGAGCTGTGTTCAGCTTCTAGCCACGATGACACATGATAAATGACGCTCCTGTGCCGATAGTTAAAGTTCACCTTTTTCTCTCTCAAGAAAGCATATGCGTGTCCGAGAGTGACTTCATTGTGTGGCTAAACTTTACAGTAATTTATTCTTTTTAAAGTAATGCATTTTAAAAATTCAGTATTTAAAACTATTATCAGAAACATTACTTTGGACATACCTCTAATACCGTGTTTGAGAGCTTCTGCTCTAGGCTGATAGTGACTTTTTACTGTGAAGATGAACACGGCCCCTCTTCCCTTCAAATCTGGATACGGTTCTTTACATTAGCTCCTCATTGCTGTAGCCTGTAAGTTAAGAATCAAATTTGCAACCCTATCTGGCAGCCACTCCACGGAAAACTCAGCTCTGGCTGTTATCCCAGGATCTCTGGAATCAGGGCGGAGGGTGTGGAATATAGGAGGGATTGGCCTTTGTCACCATCTCCATGAGTATATAGGTTTATCTCGTCTGAACAAGTGACTCTTCCTTTGTTCTTAGGACAGGCTAATGGAGAGTGTCAACATTTGCTGAACCTACCGGGCATGGTTCTCAGAGTCGAGGTTCAGCTGGAATCTCTGTACCAGCCCAGAATACAAACTTTCCATCCAGAGGCCCCTATTTCTATAACTGTGGAGTTGCTTTAACAGCAAATTTAATTGTTCAAAATGATTTGCAATTGTTGTCATTTCTCTTCTGAAATGACTCCCCATCCTAAAAGGGATCTGTATAGCCAGGCGTCACATATCCTTCTGTCATCCGTACCTCTAAGATTCAGGAGACCTTAGAAGTCAAAGAAGGACTAATAGAGACTTTCCACTCTGCAGTCTATTCCTTTGCACCGTTTTCTGGTTGCTTCCTCCTTCCTTTTCCCTAGAACTTCCTCTAAGGGCTCCCCAGCAAAGGTGGAGCCTCGGGCATGGTTTGGCAACCAGAAAGGTGGCTTCCTTCCCAGGTCGTAGCCTCACGAGCTCTAGTAGAAAACGAGAGAACTGTTTTCCAGGCAGACGGTCCAGTGTCCATGATTATGGCATTTGCAGAAAAGCATCTGTGAGAATTATCCACTCAGGTCAGAAGGAACAAAACCAAGTAGATGCCTCTGGGGGCATATGGCCCCTCCTCTCACAAGCCAAAACCTAGGCAAAGCAGTTTTTAAATTAGGCTCTGACTTTGCTTTTTTTTTAATCACAAAAATAATACACGTTCACTGAAAATAAATACAAAAATGGGTATAAAATTGTTTTAAATCATATTTCCACCCCCCAGAACTTGCCAATGGTAAAGTGTATATCCTTCTCAAAGTTTTTTTATGTGTATACTTAAATATGGCCTTTTAAAGCAAATATGAGGTCATACTGTACTCTTTTATAACTTGCTTTTTCCATTTAACAAAATACTGACTTCCCAGGTCAATAGATATCCATCTATGTACACTGCTGTTTTTAGTACTGTGTTGTATTTCTGTACCATAATTTATTTAAACAATCCACTATTAGATTGTCTCCAGTTTCTTACAATGTGATATAATATGCAACCTTACAATTAAGTCTGTATACATGTTCTTAATTATTTCCTTGGCATCCATTATTAAAAGTGAAATTGCGGGGTATGCACGTTTTTAAGACTTTGCTGTATTGACAGATGTTCCTCAAACACAGCTGTTTTTGAGGAAACACACCCTCCTCCAGCAGTGTAATAGAACACTCATGTCTCTGGACCCTTTCTCACACTGGGTACTTATTACCATTAAAAGGATATTTTGCCACTTTAGTAGGAGAAAAAAATAGTATCTCATTGCTTTTCATTTGCATTTACTTTATTTCTAATGAAATTCTTACATACTTACTGGTCATTTGTATTTCTTGTTTTGAGAACATAGTCATGCTAGTAGCCAAAATTACCAAGTTATTCTGCCTTTTCAGTTTGACTTGAAAGAAATAAAGGCACTTAAACAGTAGAAAATAGATTCATGCGTGTGCTTGGGAAGAATATATAATTTGAAAAAGCAGAGAAAAGCTGAATCTGAACCTTAGGGTTTATCTTGAGGTCTGTCAACTAATCACCTAGTGTCTGCTATAAAAGGAGAATGTCGTATCTTCATTCCCTTTACACATACTAGGCTCTCAGTGAAGACTTCTGAATCGGGGAACTGCTGTTTGCCTCAGGTAGGTAGAGGTAACCCATGCTTGCTGCCCTGGGTGTAGAGACCTGCAGTTCCTGTGGGGGAGAGCAGTTGATTCTTCTTCTTCCAGGGCCTAATTGTGTCTACAAAATACTTTTCTAAACACAGAATCAAAGGTGAACAATCATTCCTGACATTTACACATTGTTACCGTGGTGTGTATGAGGCTATCCAAGTAACTCGGACATATAACTAATGAGGATTTTGCTCCTGGTAATGGGGATAGGTAATTTGGACTGAACTTCCCACTGAGGGTCACTTAGAAGGGCTGGACAAAATATTTTTAAAACCTGAAGGCATCAGAGAGCTAACATGAGTTTGAAGAATTACTGGATCAAGACCACTGTGAAGATGGAGGCCCTGGAAGGTGGGTCACTGTTCTCCCAGGGGCATTGCTGAACCTCAGATGCTCATGGGTGATTTTGACAGCCTTTCAGACGTAGGGATAGGGGACAAAGCCTGTCAAAGAGCAGTAGGCCTGATAAGTGACTCTCACTTTGGGTTGAAGCCTCAGTCCTTTGCACCTCAGGAATACGAGTGAACCAGCAGTAGGAAATAGAAAGGCTCTCTCAGGGGGCTGCAGCTCAGCTTCCAATTATCTCAATCCTTGAAATTAGATTTAGATGTTCCCAGAGTGGTAGTTTCCCCAAACCGGTGCCATATGCAAACAAAATCCCTCTCTATAGAGGAAAATATCGCCATCCTCAACTTCAAATTGTTTTTACAAACAATTTTGCTAATATAGTATCCTGAATGCAGTAAAATGTAACCAAGCATATGAGACAAGATAATAAAACCAGTAAAACAATAGACAAGGAAATAGGCCCATAGAGGCTAGAGACATGAGCTATCAGACATCTCAGACATCGACTGTAATATAACCTCACTCTGTTTAAGGAGATATGCAAGTTTTGGGAATTTCAGCAGATACATGGACATGAAAAAACACGTGAATTGTAGAATTTAAAAAAGTCTAATAACCAAGAATTCAGTGAAAGATTTTTTAAATTGAAGTATTGTTGATACACAATCTTACATTGGTTTCAAATACACAGCACAGAGCTTCGGCAGTTACCATATTATTAAAGGCCCCCCACCCCCAGTGCAGTTACTGTCTGTCAACATAGATGTTACAGAATCACAGTGGAAGGTTTTAATAGCAGATTAGGCACAGCTGAAGAGAACTAGAAAACAGCTCCCAATCACTCCTAACAGATTTGCATATCGGTAACACAAAACCTTATATAATGTTACTGACAAATTAAAAGAAAAAAATTTATGGTGCCAGGAAACTGCACCCCACAGGCCAAATCCATTCAAACCAACATCTGATTTTTTGAGATTCAGGAGCCTGTGAGCTACGAATGGTTTTTACCTTTTAAAATGGTTATATGAGTATAAAATATCCCCCATTTTGCCTCTTAGCCCACAAAGCCTGAAATATTTATTATCTGGTCCTTAAAGAAAAAAGTTTGCTGACTCCTAATTTTGTAAAAATATCAGCTTTCCCACAAACTAATGTATAAATTTAATAAAATCCCAATCAAAAACTCATTTTTTTTTCTGATAGAGTCCAACATTTTTGTAATCCAACTCACTATGAAAATGCAGAGGACTAAGAATAGCCAAGACAGTCGTGGAGGAAAACAAAATAGGAGAATTTCTCTATTGGGTAGACATCCTAGTTTTTCATGAGAACAAATAGACTAATGGAACAAAACAGCTCAGACCCAGGCAAGTGGATACTTGATACATAGCAAAGGTGAGGGTAATGGTTTGGAGGGGACATGAAAAGGGCTTCTTTAATATTGCTATTGTTCTATTTTTTTAAATCTAGGTAGTATGCAGCACTTTTTATAATAGCCAAGATATGGAAGCAACCTAAGTGTCCATCAGTAGATGAATGGATAAAGAAGGGGTGGTACATATACACAATGGAATATCATTCAGACATAAAAAGAAAAGAAATCCTGCCATTTGCAACAAAGTGGATGGACCTAGAGGGTTATTATGCTCAGTGAAATAAGCCAGGTGGAGAAAGACAAATACCATGTGATTTCACTTACTTGTGGAGTATAAAAACAAAGCAAAACAGAAGGAACAAAAAGAGCAGTAGATTTATAGACACTGAGAAGTGACTAGTGGTTACCAAGGGGAGGTGGAGGGGGATAAAAGGTCAATAATTCACAATCACAATATAAGTTGATCATGGGGACTCTGTTGAACCACTGTGATTGTACATTTGAAAGCAACGTAAGATTGTATATTAACAATAGCCAAGATATGGAAGCAACCTAAGTGTCCATCAGTAGATGAATGGATAAAGAAGAGGTGGTACATATACACAATGGAATATCATTCAGACATAAAAAGAAAAGATACATATATATATATATATATATATATAAACTAAGTAGTGGTTATGTAATAAATTGTTAAGCTGTCATCTTTTTGTGCACTTTTCTGAGTGTTTGCTACTAAAAAGTGTTTTAAAAGGATGTAACTAGTGGTCTTACATAAAGCCCACTTTCCTAAATATTAGTCCTTCCCTTCAGAATTGAACTTCTCTGTTATCTCCTAAACCTATACACATTTAAAGGTTAAACCCTTGACTCTACCCCCTCACCTCTAAGGAAGGTGAAGTTCACAAACACAGGGATCAACAATATCCTGTTTACTATTATACCCTTGGTGCCAGGCCCAATGTCTGCCACATTTTATTAGTTTGATAAATACTTGTTGAGGGAATTTACAATAAACTCCACTGAAGATTATATCATTTTAATGGGACCAATATAAAGTAGTTCATGCAGATTTTTTTAATGGAATTAAGGATTAGAGTGATTTATACTTCTGATGCAGGAATAATGGTTTAGAAATTAGGTATTGCATTTTTTCCCAATGCCTTTTGGCAAAGACAAAACAGACATGGTACAGGATCATGCAGAGGGGACATGAAAGTGGCCACGACGGTGGCTAAGTCTTCAGAGGGTAAGAAAAGGAAGTTAATTTCAGCATGACAATCTTTCAGTTGTGACCAAGGTTTTCTCCTGTTGGGAGACTTAAATTCTTGGAATATGTTTCTAAATGTCAGAATTTAGGGTTAAGTGGCAGTCATGTCCATTGAATTCACTTCAAGTCTATCAAAACTTAGAATGCATTTTGCCTTATATAGAAACAATGTTATCCATGATGAGCAGTTTGTAGCCTATGACACAAAACTATGTGTACCCAAAGCATATATTATAACAAGTGATTATAATTTTGGATTCCAGGAACAAGTCTTCTGCTATAATTAAGAGCCCCTCCCAAATCCAGACCTGGTTACCCCAGACAGCCTATTTCAGATTGGGGGCCAGGGTGAACTGTGACCTGGGGGAACTAATGAGGAGATAGAATGTGGGTCGGGTACATTATGGCCCTAAGGTGATGAGGGAAGAGCGGTCAACTTCTATGCCTTGATACATTATCCCTCTCCCGCCTTTGTCCTGAAACAACCCGTGATGAGAAAGAGGGATTGGTGGAAATGGGGATTCCATCCCTGTAAATAGTTGCCCCAGTCAAAAAGGAGGAAAGTTTCAAGATTATAGGGAAAGAAAGTGAGCTCATGTCGGCATCCAACTGGGCAACTATACTAAGATGACTATCAGTCGTAAGTAATTCAGTCATTTGAAAGCCGGGTACCTGTGCAGTCTTGGCACGAGCTCAAGAATAAAGAGCCGAGCTATGGCCCCAGTGTCTGCCTGTTTACCTTGATTCTTCACCACTTGGTGAAAGGATGTTCTTGTTACCACAAAACCTCTCCATCTTCCTTTGCTTCTCTCTTGCCCAGATTGACTGTGGTTGTCATTTAAATTCAGTGCCATTTAATTCTCTGTGGTGGAGGAAGATGGAGAGTACATGTAGGGAAAAATAATGCAGGCTTACCAGGATTGTTTAGGTTACTTGAGAATTAGAGCTGCCCTTGGGTCCCTCCCTCTAAATCCCTGAACAGCTGTCTGAAAATGGTTTATCCGCAATGGCACTGAAGTTGAGATCAGCGGGGTGACATAGAGAAGAGGAGGAAAAGACAGAAATAAAAATGTAAAATCTGAAGCAGTCTAGATAATAGAAATAAATCCAGATACCTTGTAACAGGACCGGTTTTAATTGGTGTGATGTAAAGAAGCATACTCTCAAGAGGGCGTGGGGTTTGTGCGCTTTCCGAGGGCTATCACTGTCTCATGTAAACTTAAAATCCCAGGGTTAGAGTTGCCTCTATTCAGGAGAGGGACGCAAGGACATTTTTCTCTGGCCGACTGAGCAGCTGGAACGAATGCCGAATGAGGCAAGGCAAGGAAGAGATGAGGGTTTTGAGTGTATGACTTCTTGAATTCATAGCTTCATTTTAATCGCGGATATGCCCACCCTCCGTAGGATGTAACATT